CACTGAGGTTAGAGGCCCAAACTCTGAAGCCTTCTAATGCTCCAATGGCTCAGTCAAAATCTGCCCATTACGTAAATGAAACATCCTCGAGATTAATATGCCTCCATGTTTGCCTGTAATGCAACAGCCTTAAGGGATATTATAGGATATTTATACTTTCAGATTTGTCGACCGAAACAAATTTCTTAACTGAGCCAGTTAATTTCTTTCATTATTTCAGGACAAGGGCTTGTTTAAATGGCAGTATATAAAACATCCTCGGTAGACATGCTTGTCTGGGGTAAGGTGACAATATAATTAGTGCTTTTATGATTTACATGAGGTTGCATGGTGGCTCAGTCAAAAAGACAAGCAGTTAGGTTAATTAGTGTCTAAAATGCACTCGGAGTATTTTCCCTGCAGTGGACTGACCCCCCCACTTCTTCCCTCCACACACTGGCATAAGCTCCTGGGCCCCCGGTGACCAGCAGTTGGAAAATTGATGGATGATTTATATTTATCTTTAAATATTTTATAAAAAATAAGGTGCAAAATATTGGCACTTCTGGAGTGTTTGGTGATTATCAATTTCAACGTCTATGGCAAGTTAGCAGTTAAAAAAAAAAGTGCTTCATCAGTCCTGTCAAATTATTTCTAACAACAATGTGTAAACCAAGAGACTTCTGAACTAATTCATCATCTTGAAGACAGTTTTTTTTTTAAGATAATTAAAATGGGTAGACACTGTAGTACAACCCATGTATGACTGCCTCCAGAAACTATTATCTCATCTCATTGGATTTCCTAATTGATTGACATCCCAGGGGAACTAGTGAGCCAATCAAGAGCTTCCTTAGGGAAAGATGCATGTGACAGCCAGGAGTATGCAAGTAAAGGGCTGCATTATTCATTCTGACTCACACAGTCCCAGGGTTAATTTAAGGAGTTTTAAGTCACATGTTGTCTCAATAACAGGGAACTGCCATTCATGTAACACATCAAAATGAGGTGATTGCTCGAACCCTGAAGCTACACAACTTCTTTCCTTCCCCCAAGGACCTTCTTGATGACAAAATAAACCCCCACCTCACTGACATATGGCAGTTCAGCAAGCGATTTTCCACATAGCAATTACTTTGATTTTTGAGTGCCATTGGGCCTTTCTCAGCCCAAGTAACCTTTTTCTTTAATAAAACGTTGCCTTTTCCAGTCTCGTTGTATAATCCCAAAATCAGTTGTGATCAGCTGACCTAAGAAAACATGCAATCGGTTTTTGCTTCTTCCCCTAGTGACACTATGTAGCTGCTGATAGGCACTTCTTTGCAGTGACCCGGCCACCGTGCCATGATATGAGACATTTTCCAGGTGGCAGAGCAAGCAGGACAAGGTGCAAGGGAAGGTGGAACAGGGATTTTATGTGGGGACAGGTTTAACCAAATAGTGGAGATGTAAGAAAACTTAGGGCAGCGGTTTTGGTCTTCAATGCAAGGGAAACAATCAGGAAAACAAAACAGGTATTATTTGTAAGCTGAGGTACAATTTTCTGCGCTATTGGAAAATAATAAAAAAATAAGACAATTTCATGTCTGGGTCCTCCCCTTGTGTTACAAATGACCTTTGTGTCTTGATTATGGATTTCCACACAGCTATAGCACATTACACAAAAAATCACAGGGGTTCCATTAACCCAGGCTTAGGAAATTCAAGTAGTTGGGCTTGATACATATACTGAATACTTCAGAGGTATACAAGGCTTACTGATCTTGGAAAGAAGATATATAAAACAACAAGAAAATGCCATCTAAGCCCTGAGATGGTATAACCACAAAGGGTATATGCGATTATTGTTAGAAGTTCAGGGGATCATTATGAAGGATGTTTGTGTCTGCATGTTACAAAAATTCAAAGTCTCACTGTCTGGAGTAATTACCCCTCACCTCTATATTCCACATGCAGTACAAAACGAAACAACTAACCAGCTGCGACGTATCAGAACACACCATCACTGACTGAGGTGAGCTCTCCTCTACAAAGGATTTCTGAGATCTGACGACAAGCACTGCAACACCCTGTGTCATTGCTCCTACTTAAAGCGCCTTAGCTAACTGACATCCGCCCTCTATTTACAAGATATGCCGGAAATCAAAGGCCCCCATTTTTAAGGAATTTGGAAATGGCTGCAGTCTTACATTGAATTGTACATATTCTCAATTCCCACCTGCAGACAGACAGTTATGCTATGTTCAGTTGATGCTACTTAGTCACAATGTTGTGTTGTCAGCCTTATGCTTTTATCAAAATGCAGAGAACTTGTCTTCCAGACAGTCTACCTCTTTCCTTACACACCTTAGAGATGCAAAAAAAAAAAAACACACAAATTAACACCTTCCTGCATCTTTAAGTGCTAACCCTCTACTTTCACACTCAGCTATTTCTGGCAGAACTTACATCCTCAAAATGATCAGTTACAAGCTACTACTTGCCATTCTGATACAAAAAAATGGTGAAAAAAACAGGAGGCCCATGGCACTGATCAAACAGTAAAGTTTTATATGTCTTGCAATACTTTATTGCTGTTTAAAACTCATTCCCCTTTGAGTGCATTGAACCCATCTCGAGTTTCGGTTGTTGTTATTGCATTCAGAGAAAGATACCTATTACCTGTCAGAATAACAAGCCGGCTACAAGGTCCAGCTTACAGCCTACACAGTTATCCGGTTCAAACTTGAGGATACTCATAAATAATGAGCGAGTGTATAGACTCGGACACGTAGGAAGATTTAGCGGGCCGCTAAGATCCAGGCGAGGCGTTCTCATTAACATTGACTGGAGCACAGAAAATATGCGTAGGAGGATGAGACGTAAAGGGCACCGTGTCATGATTCACCATTAGGAACTTATTACCATGTATCTTCTCGGTTGTGGTGCTGAGGATGGGGGGGAGTGGGTGGGAGGGGGTACTCCGTGGATTGGCACAAGCTGACATATTTGCCCCCAACTGCTGTGCCACAGACAGCAATAGTGAGGGCATCTTTTAATAGCTGTGTGTAGATGATGAGATCGTGCTGGTGTAGCACTTAAAAATATGCCGCAGCACCTCACCTTAGCCCTACCGGAAAACGGTTTGCTGCATGATGCTCCCAGTTGCCATTTTAGTGGTGCAACTGGGGATGATTAACATTTGTAGCGGATGACTGTGGGGAGCAGATTGGGTTGAGATCAAAGGCAGCTGGGCCTGGGTTTGATGAGCAGATATTCACGGGAGAGAACAGACTGGCCGCATACAAAGCCGCAGACATCGAGGAGGAGATCTCAGATACACGGTCTGCAATCGTCCTGTGTAAAAGACATTCTGCTGTTTGAATCATTTCTAAACTGCATTCTTTTCCCTTTAGGGAAAATGTCCCCACAAGCATGGCTGACTCTACCTTTAAAGCTTTGCTTGGAAGACCCCCCCCCCCCACTCCCCGCCAAGAAAACTTGGCACTGCTGATAGTTTCACTTCACCCACAACACAGGTAATTTGGGGGCCCCAGGCAGCTGCCTATTCTGCCTATTGCTAGTCTGCTCACAAAGATAATAAAACTAGAAATATAGATATTTCTCCTCAGTACTGGTCCAAGCTGAGGTGGCGCCCTAGGGAGCCATCACCGCTGGCGCCCCCTGTCTGTGGCAAAGTGAAATTGGCTGGCAAATCGCTGCCGCATCAAAAATTGGCGCTTGAGGATTCACCGGGCTCATATCTCCTTGACGTAAAAAGTCATCAATCTTTCACCCTGAAGAAAAAATGTTTTGTTGGCTTTCAGTGACTTTTTTTTGGATAGAGGATTAACGCGCATTAATTACATCAGAATTAGGGTCAGTAAAAAACCGCCACACGGACAGTGGCACAAATGTACACATAAAAAGTTGCTCTGTACACTGTAAGTCATTCAGTTATCTACCACTGATGGAAGAAGCAAATTTTTGGTTTATTGAATTATATTACAATTAAAGACAGAATAGCCTGCTGTCCACCAAAACCTCAACACATGTGATCGGAATTCCCAGCCTGCAACTTTACAAAACCGTACTGCTACTTTTTTCAGGACTGTATCCATGTTTTAATTGAACCTCCAAGCCATCAAGTGCAGGGCAGTTGGCTTTATCCTGACAGCTGATTGGTCGTAGCGTAAGGGGGTATAAAAATCATGCAGGAAGGCGTGCGGCATACAGCTGCATGAACTGCAACTTTGCAGTTTTATTCCCTTTTATAGGTCGCTGGTGCTTTGGCCTGGATATTATGTCTGCATTCCTTTTGTCATATTTATTAGCTTATGCTTTCGATCTATAAATAATTGATCACTTTTGATCTAAGCGAAGTAATCTTCTTCTGTATCCTATGATGTCCATTCAAGTTTGCTGACAAGTTACATTAGAATTAGTTCATTCTCTGCCCTATTGGGTGTGAGATCTTTCGGCTCAAAGCCTTCTTTCGTCCATGAAGACAGAGATTCCCATAGACGCTGAATGAAATTATTCTTACTACTCTGCAACTACATTAATAAAGTTAATGCTACAAAACGTAACTTCATAAGCATCTTATGAAGGGCCATTAGGTGGGAATTTAAAGGAACAACGGAACAGCATGTCCTGCCTTGTAATAACGCTGCTCACACTGTTGGAGGAAAATTTTGCTACACGTTCCTTGCCACAGGAAACTGCACTGGTTTTTTGTAGCGGCCGGGAATCGATCCTCGGGGCACCGCTGTCAGAACAGCACTGTGTTTATCGCCCTTGGACAAGGCCGCCTCTCCAGAGGTCAATAAGAAAGCAAATTTTTGCCGCAGATTTTCCCGTCGTATTGTACCATGCTAATTGCCGGGCTGGGAGACCACACTGGGGTGATGTGAACTCACAGCGTGCGATATTTTCAGAGAGAAGCGAAGCGCGAAAGAAAAATGAGTGACCCCCCCCCCCAACCCCCACCCCAAAACGCTTCGGCAGACCAGCGGCAAGCATGACATGATCCCACCCCCCACCATCACAGAGCACAGTCCACGGAGATGGGAACTGCAGAAAACTGATGTGGCCACTGCCGCTGTGGCTTCCGCTGCTGGGAAAGTACTGAGAGGCAGGCTGCCACTGCACAGAGAAGCGGGTGGAAACGTGCAACAGCGCCGGCAACACAAAGCACTGCGCACGACTCGCCTGCTCAGTCATTTCCAATTGAACCCCATCAGCTTGAGGCAGGGACTTTAGTGGGAGGACCATATGGGGGCTTTTTCATGCCCCCCCCCTCCCCACACACTCACACATGGTGTAACCCTCTCCTGCCCTCCTCCATGCATGCACTGCAGAAATGCACGAGATGGAGACCTGTGGATGCAACATCTGCAGTGGTGGAGAAAAAAAAAACTGGATCCGCTCATAATAGACCAGTGCAAATTTACCTGCAAGACCTTTTGGAGGCGCTACAGCGCTCTCCGGGGGGGCCTCTCACACCGGCTCTGCGGCGCTGTACCTGATGCGCATCTACAAGCGCTGAAAGTTAACGGGAACAGACGCCTGAACAGAGTGAAGAGAGCGAGATGCTTACGGAGCCCATGCATACACCGGGGATCTGGCTGTACACCGCGTGCTGTAACCTTTGGTCAGGGGCCAGGCTCCACGCGACGGTACCCCCCAGTTACATAACTGCCGAGCCAAGATAGCGAGGACGCAATAGCAGGATCAAAGTGAAGGGTCTCGCGTGCCGCGAAAGACTCACACTCTGATGTTCTGTGAATTAAACGAGAAATAAAAAAAGTGCACAATAACAGTGCAGAAGACACAAAAGTACTTTGATGAAAGATTACCGTGGCCTCACGTTTGTTAATAGAATCACATTGATCAGTCTCTCAAATGAGATTCACTTGGACAAAGCCATCGCACGCATCTCCCTGAAGTGAGCGGCAATCATTGATGAAACAAATTTTAAAAAGCCGAGGATGTCACTGCGGAGGAAGACCAGAGGACCCAACCAGCTTTGATGTAGTTGAAAACATAGCAAAACAAAAAGGAAGAGGGAGAGAGACGTAATTAACACAATAATGAACTTCATCTGCACAGGAAATAAAAGCTTCCGATAAATTGACTGCCTCCCTGAGAAGCAGGCGCACGCATGCACTGCCTCTCTGTCGCGTTCCCCCGCTCTTCCCGGGATGGGCAACCTGTTCCCATTGAGCGAGCCGGACGGATGGGAGAGAGGGCGGAAAAAACGCATCTCCACGGCACGGGTGGGAGTGCAGCGCGGACGATCGGATGCAGTGCGGCGTTTCAGGCACTCACCAGTGGCTGGCCCGCAACAGCCCCTCTTTGTCTCCCCACTGCCGAGGCTCCCCGATCCTCGCGCTCCCCTGCTTCCAAGCAGAATGAGCTGCCGCTCAGCTCAAGACTGGGTTTCTATGGAGCTTCACGGCAGCAAGATGCTCCTGTGCTGCATTCGTCCAGGGGCAGAGACTCCACACAGCTCTGAGAGCAGTGATAGATGCGTATTCTACATAACCCCCACTAAACCCCAACGGTGTTCCGACACCCTGCCCTGTAATTCAGCCCCCCACTCCTATCAGACACACACACATGCACTCAACACACACACACACGCACACTGCTACCCTCTTCTATGCACAGTGCACTTTATTTTGCGCAGAACAATGAAAACACAAAATATAAATGTCATTAATATGACACTGAGAAAGGGAAAAGAAACAAAACACTTCTGCATAATAACGGGCACATAAATATTAATAAGACCTTGTCATGAATTTCAAACGGAATCGTGGTCAACATGCCCAACTGTAGATCTAAGGCTTGTTTACTTGTTTATTTATTTGAATCTTATGTAGTAAAGATTGGGACTGAGCAAATGCGGCTATGAATGCATAAGAGGGAGGATGGTTTCCACCTTACCCTCGTTTTGTTTCCGTGGGCTGGTTCAGGGATTGTAGAGTAAGCACACACTTGTGTGCTCTGGTCCACACAATGCATGTATCATTGATTTAATAATAGGCTTCCGAGCAAAAAATCTGCCTCCATCTCCGGATCTGGCCGGGGCGACATGGCCCACTAGAGCACAGATATCCGTCCCTCATAGCCCTCATCTAGATTAGCATCAGTGCATCCTGGACTGCAATGGATGTGGGAGCTGGGATCTGTACATGGGGGCAAAATTTACTCTGCAAACAGGGAATAAATTTACTGCAAGGAGAAAAACACAGCAGTGGCCATTCTAGACCATATCAACTGGGGCTGGGGCAGCAGGCTGGGCCAGTTGTTCTGTTAGGGGGTCCAGATGCCCCTTAATGTCCTCCAGATATTGCACTAGATTACCAGCATTAAGAAGCAAAAGACAATTTAAAAACCCAATAACATACTTATGCAATACTTTGCAGTCACATTTTACAGCTTTTACAAATATGAAACTCACCCTAATAGCTTCTTTATTTCATCTTGCTTCCACAAGCTTTTTTTCTGGCGTTAACTTTGCTTTTCACAAACTGAAGCGGCTGGATCACCTGGCGCACCCGGGTTAAGAGACGGTCAAAAAAATGTGCTTACGTTTGTGTTTCACCTGTTCCCAGTGCACAAAATGTCAGTGCACATATATAAATGTAAATAATAATAATAATAAAACATTTATTTCAGACCCAAGTAACATACATATTTAGGGGGTCCCGGGGGGGGGGGCATGCATGTGGTCATGGGGCACTGAAACACACACACAGCACATACCGTTTGCTGTGATAAAGGCACAAAAGTTGCAAAGTCTCCCTTCTGCTCACATGCAACAAATAAAGGGAAGAGTTGGAGAGCACAGGTATGACATAAATGTGCAGCCGTGTATACCACCAATACCACCACGTATACCACCAATACCACCGTGTATACCACCAATACCACCACGTATACCACCAATACCACCGTGTATACCACCAATACCACCACGTATACCACCAATACCACCGCGTATACCACCAATACCACCACGTCTACCACCAATACTACGGCGTATACCACCAGGCCTCTGAGCTGCACCAGGCCTCTGAGCCGCCGAATCAATAGATCATAATCGGTGGGCTTTATCTCCCGTTTCTAAAAGGCTTCCGTAATAACAGACGTTCCCATGGAAGCCACACAGGGAATATAAACATTAGAGAGTACTGATTTTTCAATGATAATGGTATTTACTGGTGTATGTTACTGCTAATAGACTGTCACAGTATGTACTGTACTTTTTCCGAAGATTAACAGAGGTACCCAGAAGTGACACACCTCAAAAAAAGTTTCCATATATATATATGTGTGTGTGTGTGTGTGTGTGTGTGTATGTGACATTTCTGGGGTTTTTCAACTCATTTGCACACTTGTAAAGCGTGACGGAGAGTCAGCAGTAAAGTGTACACGCTGATGTTAAAGGATCTTTAATTCCCTTTTTTCCGAAGTACTCTGCTGCTCCCGTTTTGGGAATCCCGACAGACCAGCCGCTCTCCAAACTGAGAACTAAATCCATTCTGATGACAGACCTCCGCTTTTACAAACCCCTCCCAAACATTACATGGCTTCAGACTGTTACTATGCTATTGAATTTATGTGCTTAATATAAAACCCAATTGTTTTGGCAATATCGAACCTCATTTTTCCTAACTTGTTTTGTCCTTTTTATTTTATTTATCTTCTGTTAAGTATGCGGTGCCATGTTTATTACAACATCACATCACTGCCCAGTTATTACAATCTATTTTATATTTTTATCTCAGTGGGTGATTTGAATAGTATCTTTTGGTGATATTTTGCTGACTGGGATCTGTAATTATTGGGAGCGGTTTTGGATGTTGAAGGTTTGCACACTGAAAGAAAAAATATTGTTTGCTTGTGTCTTATTTAACAATTCTGTTCCCTTTTCCACGGTTGCCCTCAGGGCTGTTTTGATAGTAGTTTACCAGGCATGAAATTAGCATTGTCTCTGCAAAGTGTTTCTTGAAAGGTATCACTTGGAAAAAGCAGCACTTGTGCAGGTTTAATCTATCCCACACCAACAGACGTCGTAATGGTATTACAAATATTGACTCTTAATTGTGAAGGTTATTCTAGTTCCTTCTGTTCAAACAGACCCTAAAAGTAACTCCATACTACTCACATGAGGAGATCATATGCTCTGGATGTTCCTTCTGTATTTTACAGCTGGTTTAAAATGTGGAAGGCAAGACCGGATCTGGGCTGGATTTTTAAGCAGGGATGATGCTACAAAGGCCTGAATGAGTTGTTCCTCAGGTAACGGGTCTCATTTGGGGGGTGGGAAGGCATATCCGCCTCAACATGCATCTCCAGAATGCTGACCTAGACAGAAACCTCTCTCCAGCGCTCTGTGGGACCAAGGGCTACAAAGCGTCTTTGTAGTATTGATGGATCCATATATATGCATGTATTTGCATTCATTTTTTCATTTATGGGGTGCGAGTTGGCACAGGCCAGGATTTGAGGTGATCTTCTGTCCCATGGCGATAAACATTCCAATTACTGAATCCCCTTTGGCCTTAATTTGACAAGTATTGGTTATGTAGGATTAATAAGGTCAGCTGGGAGAGACAGGGTTGTAGCATGCTCTCTGGGTTGATGTCGCAGGGCGTTTTTCGTCTGGCGTGTTTCATTATCGTTTAGGTGTTTCTTCAGTGCCGCTTTATGTTTGATCCTTAAAGGGGCAGTATCTCCGTTTTGTGCGTGTGTATTTTTCTCCCCCCTGTAATTCTGTTTCCTTAGTTTGAAATCTGTTGCCCTGTGCCTCCGTTCTGCTTATGTGATAGACCTCCGTTCCGCAAAGCTGCCACAGGGGCTAATTGTCCTTATCCACCACCCTAACTGAATTTAGCAGCCGCCGAGAAGCATCGTTTTCTCAGTGTGGAGCAGGCAAAGTCCCAGGCAGTTTGAAAATACAAACAAATGGTTGGCATGGACTCCCTAAGGCCTGCATTTTTTTTTCCTTAAATGGACTTTGATTGCCTTCACACAGGTCTCTTTTTTTGAGGAATCGTCGCTCCGCTGATTTATTTTACCAGCAGATGAACTTGCTACCGTTAGGGCGTTTAACACCCACGGCTCTTGACAGATCAACTCCAGCATGCCAATGGCCCTCGGATTTACAGGAATATGTGCCCAGAATCCGCATTAAAATCAGTGCGCTGATC